ACTCCTGGGCTCAAGTGATCCTACTGCCTCAGCCTCCTGAGTAGCTGGAACTATAGGCACTCACCATCATGCCCAGCTAATTTTTTCTATTTTTAGTCACTTGGCTAATTTTTTTTTTTTTTTCTGTTTTCAGTAGAGGTGGGGTCTCACTTTTGCTCAGGTTAGTTTCAAACGCCTGACCTCAAGCAATCCTCCCATCTCGGCCTTCCTGAGTGCTAGGATTACAGGTGTGAGCCACCGTGCCCAGCCCTCCACTATAAATTTTATAAAATACTGGTATACCTTATTTTATTGTGTATTATTTTATTGTGCTTGACAGATATTGCATGTGTGTTTTAACAAATTAAAGATTTGTGGCAACCCTGCATAGAACAAGTCTATCTGTGCCATTTTTCCAACAGCATGTGCACACTTCGTGTCTCTGTGTCGCATTTTGGTAATTCTTGCATTATTTCAAACATTTTCATTCTTATTAAACCTGTTACAGTCATCTGTGATCAGTGATCTTTGATATTACCATTGTCACTGTGTGCACCATGAACCACATCCATATAATATGGTGAACTTAACAGATAAATGTTTCAACTGTTCCACTGACTGAGCATTTCCCTATTTCTCTCCCTCTCCTCAGGCCTATTTCCTGAGAGATAACAATATTGAAATTAAGCCAATTAATAATCCTATAATGGTCACTAAGTGTTCAAGTGAAGTAAGAGTAGCATGTCTCTCACATTAAATAAAAAATTAGAAATGACTAAGCTTAGTGAGGAAGGCATGTGGATAGATAGGTCAAAAGCTAGGCCTCTTGAAACAAACAGTTAACCAAGTTTTGAATGTAAAGGAAAAGTTCTCGAAGGAAATTAAAAGTGCTACTCCAGTGAACACATGAATGATAAGAAAGGGAAACAGCCTTATGGTTGCTATGGAGAAAGTTTGAGTGGTCTAGATAGAAGATCAAACCAGCTACACATCATTCCCTTAAGCCAAAAACTAATCCAGACCAAGGTCCTAATTCTCTTCAATTCTACGAAGGTTAAGAAATATGACGAAGTTGCAGAAAAAAGTTTGAAGGTAGCAGAGGTTGGCTCATTAGATTTAAGGAAAGAAGCCATCTCCACAAAACAAAAGTGTAAGGTGAAGCAGTAAGTGCTGATGGAGAAGCTGCAACAAGTTATCCAGAAGATCTGAC